TATAAACTTTTCAAATATTGGCGTTGAGAAACTATTTAATACTTTTGTATTTTTGTATTGAGATAGTAAAATAATTTTCACATTTAGTATTATTTTACAAGAAAGGCACTTTATTTTAACGATTGTATGACATTTGACAACTGTCAACTAACTTAAAACTAACTTCAGCCCGTGACTAAAAACCTGTTTCCAACTTCAGCCCGTGACTAAAGCGCCATAAACCCACAACTTGTCAATGTGTATTTAAAAGGTCACTTAGTGGCATGGAAACATGTACGATAAAGGGCGTTTTAAAGGTGGGAGTAGAAAAAATACTTTAACTTATATCTCAGTTTACGTTTTCAAAGGTTTTTCGAAAAAATATCCTTAAAGCCCAATTATTTAATATTAAAAAAAACGCTCGAAAAAAAACTTTTATAGGGATTTGTTTTTAAGTAAATAAAAAATATGCTGCTAAAGACCGTATTTTTGTTAGTATACCCTGAAAATTTTGTACAAATCAAACGAACAGTAACGAAGATACAGCGCTTTAAAGTCGGTAAAAATGACCACTTTTCAGCAAAATAATCGAAAAGGGCTAAACATTTATGTTTTTTAATTTAAAAAATAAATCAATAATATATATATAAATATTTTCAATTTTGGGGGTAATTATTTTACAATGAAACTAAAGAAAGTTATAAATCAATTGATTTCAAGTATTCTTCTTTTCAATCAGACAAAAAAACAGCAAAGATGTTTGATATAATTAACATGGTAGTAATTTTTTCTTTAAAAAAATGTTATTTTTAATTATATCTTTGTTATAGGTATGTTTACCTGAATTTATTTTTTCATATATATTTACAAGCAAAAATACTGTCTATTTTTATTCATATTTTAAATCAGTCGTTAACGACTGATATAAATTATATCAACCGATTTACAATTTAGATGATTTTATTGGCCAAAAAACAAATCTAGTAAAACATGACTTATATTAGCGAAATTATTTTCTATGGTCACAAATGTTACATAAATCTTGAAATTTTATTTGTTGTATGTCTAATTTAAAATGTCAATGTATAGAAATATACTTTTTTATGGAAAATATAAAAGTTGAAAGATAATTACCCAATTTATTTTATAAACCAACAGTTTTACTGCGTTGCCATGTCGTGCAAAAACCTATATCCACTAATATGCTAACTCAGTTGATATAAATAAATAGACGTTTTAAAGGTGGGAGTAGAAAAATATTTTTAAATCGGCTTACGTGAGCCCAATAAAAATAGGAAAATTGTTCTGCAACTGTTGCTTATCCGCGAATAAAAATGCACGTATTTTTAAAATCCCTTTTCTCAAATACATTGCACTAAACCGGACAAAAACTGTAGAGAAAAAGGGATCCCTGAAAACTTAAGTGCGGAATATAAAATCAGAAGTGAAAATTGGTAGCTGCCGTGCGAACCAAAACTTTCTTTTTTAATAAGAAATTTATATACAAAGCCGTTTTATTCTTTTTCCCCCAAATCCCCACTGATATTTTTTGCACTATACGGGTGCCGTCTTTGTAACATATTGGGGATTTATTTGAATATTTTTTCGAGCTTATATTTATGGAAAAGTTACCTAAATATAAATGCGACTTTAAAAATCAAAGGCAAGAAGTCTTATTGTGTTTTTTATTGTATTGTTATACTGTATTTTAATGCACCATGGCCCTACTTTCTTGAATACTTTGTGTGTGCTTGTTTGGAAAATCTCTGGAAAGATACAAATCAAAATGCTTTAACTTATACTGAGACCATAAAAGGGTTTCCTTTGCAATCTCAAAGAACATAACTTTTTATAAATAGGTTTAACAAACTATATAAACTCGGATGTTGAAAATGATGAATTTAAACGAATCGATCATGTAGGTTAAATCGAAATGCAATAGATTGTATCGGAAAGTACATCTTGATGAAAATAGATTGGCCGATGATTTCCACAAATGTTTTTGACAGAATCTGTAACGTATCGCAAATAGTGGAAGACGTGAAATATTATATAACGTCTGACACTTTGTCATATTTGATTAATTGATCATTGCTTTTAAAATAACTCAGTCTTTTACACACGGCCTTGCCGAGACAGTTTCTAGTGTATAAAGTTATCGATGAGAGTTTCCTTTTCTTATCTTTGCCTAAGAACATATTATTGCTTAAATTTATCATGATAAATTATTTTGGACGAAGTTTTTGTAATTTAATAATTAAAGGTTGCAAATGCACTTTTAACTATAATGATAATATTTATTACAGTATTAAAACAATAAAAATAATTGACAACACATATTGGTACAATATAAAGAAAAAACATTTACAAAATTAATATCACGTTTAGCAAGAAATATATTTTAAATCTATACACGGAAAAAAATACATTTCTATATTCAAAAATAGTTCTATACTTATAATTTTTTATTTAACCCAATAATAATTTACTTAGTAAAACAATACTTTATTATTAGTTAAAGTATTTGCTTAATGTTAATTTTTAACTTTTTCAATATTCATTTTATGTTTTTTTTATTTTATCAAAGAATAAAAAATATATCTTATTAAATGAATTTATTGGATTGTTCTTAGGTTCTTAGAGTTAAAATTCTGTTTTTTTCTGCATTTTTTGCATTATAAAAACCTTGTTAAAATGACTAGAGCTACAATAAAATATAATGCCATAGGCAAGATGTGCCTGAACTACCCCAAAGTACATAAGTCGCAGTACTGACCCTCTTAATGGCCTTATTAAATAGCAAGCAGAATTATTTATTTGTGTTTCCCATGTTAACTTCCTATCCAAGTAAATACCCAAAAACTTTATGGTTTCCGCAGATAATTGGAATAAAAAGATCATAAGTTTTTCCATTTACATCATCAATACCGGGTGTAAATTATTTACTTGTTTTAATGATGGTACTTACAATTTCTTGTGAAGTAACCGGCTTTAGATAAAATGATCTAAAAAAGTTGGGGGTAGTTCAATTTTGCCTAAGATTTTGAGCATTATGATCTTTAAGAATATTTTAAAAAGTATTATTGAATATATTACTAATTTCTTTAGAATTACTAGATATTTTTGAATTTTTATATTTGTTTTCGTTATTTATAATTTTACAGCTTTCCTTACTAATATTATTTGAATTAATTAGTTTTTCATCATTAAATTTCTTTTTTGCCAGCTTTATTTAATTTTTAAACAGTTTTTTTTTTTAATTTTTACAAGGCAGAGTTTATTAAGAATTATTAATTGTTTTAGACAATTTATTAATTTTACATAACAGGGAGTGCAATTCCTTTAATTATCTTGTAAACCATTTACTTATATACACCTTCTTAACTAAAGAAAAACATTAATAGTGAAATGAAAAAAAATATTGTAAAAAATATAAAATTTTCCATTTGTAATATTTTCATGATATGGGTCATTTTCAAAATTCTTGTACATTTAAAAAGAAAAAGTAAAAACAAATAAACAAATTTTGTTAATTTAGGGGTGTTATTTAACACCTAAAAGGTGGAAGTTGGATTTTTTAAATAAGCCATTAAGAAAGAAAAAATGGTCCCCTGGGTCACAAATTTACTAACATATTAAAAAAACTTATATAAAAATGCTTAATTATTTTTAAAATATATTTGTTTGCTTGTTAATAATCCTTTTAAGGTTTTATTTGCACTAGGATTTGTTTAAAAAGAGAACAAAACTAAGTAAACACAAGTATTTTTTTCTACTCCCACCTTTAAAACGCCCTTTTCGTACATATTTCCATGACACTAAGTGACCTTTTAAATACACATTGACAAGTTTTGGCTTTATGGCGCTTTAGTCACGGGCTGAAGTTAGTTTTAAGTTAGTTGACAGTTGCCATACAATCGTTAAAATAAATTGCCTTTGTAAAATAATACTAAATGTGAATATTATTTTATTATCTTAATACAAAAATATTAAATAGTTTCTCAAAGCCAATATTTGAAAAGTTTATATGAACATTGTACTGTCCTTTTAATTTCGCCGGCAGTAAACTATAACTTAAATTCGGACACGGACTCCACTGTAAAGTGCTCATAAAACATTTTCTTTACATTCACTGTGAAAAACTGTCAATTTTCAAGGAATACATTTCGATTTATAACCTTTATAATCTGTGTTTATAAAATTGACATTTGACGGTGACACACAGATTCCCCTATTGATTGATAAATGGCGCTCTATACAAATTTTTGATTTAAATCACTTAAAAAAAATGTTTTTAAAACTTTCCTACACGTTTATTATTATTTTAAAAATATATTATAATTCATTTCTTTGAAATTGACCCCTGGGTCACATAACTTTCATTCTGGGTCACACAATATTTGATCCAGGAGACGTGTGACCCAGGGGAAAAATGTATGTTTTAGAACATAACCTTTTTACTGTTTTAAAGAAAAAAATTTGTATTTTTTGTTTGCCACGCTGGTATAAAAAATACAAAAAAGTGTTGTGGCTTCAAGATAGTTCAAAACACCAATTTCTACTAAAATCCGTTACCAAATACATTGCCGCAAGGGGGCAGCACCAAAAAATGTGCCCTTAATTCAAAAGGTCATTTATAAAAGCTGTTACCCAGGAGACGTGACCTAGGAGAACAAAATTAAGGGACCAACTGTCAACTTTCAGAGTTAAAATAATTTAAAAATATTTTTTCTGTGAATAATCCCTAAAAGTAACAAGATCATGTATTTCAGATTAGTACTATAGTAGTGTTCAAAAAAAGTAATTAACAATGAATTAAATGCATTTATTAAATAATTTAAAAATATTTTTTCTGTGAATAATCCCTAAAAGTAACAAGATCATGTATATCAGATTAGTACTATAGTAGTGTTCAAAAAAAGTAATTAACAATGAATTAAATGCATTTATTACACAGGGTGTTTTTTGTCTTCGTATTATAAGAATGTATTTACATATTTAACCTAACTTTCAAGAGTTTCTTAGTTCTTGAGTGGTGGCAAAGAAGCAAGGGTGTCCTGGTAGGCCTTCAAGAAGGCGACTCTCGCTGCGTGCACTTCAGGAACTTCGCCGATGCGACTCCTGGGGATCTCTTCTGCGAACTGAGTGAACTGCGGAGAATTGTGGACAGGTTGCGGTTCCACTATTGGTTGCTGGTAATCCGGCTGGAACGTTTGTTGTGGAAAAGGTTGCTGTTGAATCGGTTGCTGTTGAAACGGTTGCTGTTGAATCGGTTGTGGGTGCTGGGGTAGCAAGATTCCGTTCTTTTGGTAACGCACTTCCGGTGCCAAGGTTGGTAGCACTGCAAGAACATGGGAGTAGGCTTGTCTGAGTTGAGATTTGGCGGCGGCTACTTCAGGGGTGTCCGGGGGTGGTAGACCGCTCACGTGATTGGCTAGGGGGCCGTTCCAAATTGGGCGAGTTGGTTCTGTGGTGGTCAAATATGGGTCGAAGTTCTGGAACTGGCAAGAGCCCAAAGACAAGAAACAAGCTAAAATAATCTGAAAAATAACAAATATTAACTAATATTTTTATTTATTTTTATTTTATGAATACTCACAAGTGATTTCATTATGGTTGTTGAACTGATAATGTTTTTTAACAGTGATTGTTTCAATTTATACTGTGCAAAATTTGTAGGTATAATTCTAATTTAATGTTTTGGTAATTAAGACACAATTTTTAGAGAACAATTTTTTGTAGGAATGTTGATTTTTATCATATTATTAAATTTGATTTTAATGTCCTTAAAGTATTTTAAACTCTACCTATAATTTGCAAGCTTTCTAAAATACTTTAAAAGGTTTTGTGAGAATAAATAAAACTAGGATAAAAATCTTAATATTGACACATAAGATTTTTATAATTATACATTCCGAGGTTCTTTACAAAAAAAAATACTTCAATCTTCCGGCCGATCTTTTCTCAACATTAATAGGATCAACGTCTGCCATGCTGAATATATTTCGACTAAGCAGATATTATTACATTTAGTAACGAAGCTGAAGACTTGCACAATACGAATTCAATATAAAATCTCAGAAATGATCGGGCGTAATTTTTCATCGTTTTTCCTACGCTCAAAAATGAACTCGATTTTATTTTATTTTTAATGAACAATTTATTCGTGAACTCAAAAGCGCCCGCTTCTTATTTAATTGAGTATAACCGCTAAATCTTTATAAAATTTCCTCTTTTGTCGGGAAATTTTTTACCTAGTTATCACATTTTATTTATACTCTTTAAAATAGAATTTTAAATAAATATAGTACATTTCATCCCTGAGGTATTTTCAAAGTTTTTTAATTTATTTCTACTAAATTCCAATGTCAATATTTCAATTAAAAGTTATGTAACTGCCTTTTATACTTTTAAACTTTTTAAAAGGTTTTCTTTTAGTTTATTCATTTATTTGATATAGAAAAACCAATTTAAATCATGTTTTTTACTCCCACGTTTAAAAGGCCTATTTTTGTGAATGTTTCCATGACACTAAGTAACCTTTTAAAAACTCATTGACAAGCTGTAGCTTTTTGGCGCTTTAGTCACGTTCTGAAGTTAGTTTTAAGTTAATGGCAGTTGTAAAATGTTATACAACCGTTAAAATAAATATAAAAATTATTTTATTAACTAAAAATAGAAAAATATTAAATAGATTCTTGACACCAATATTTAAAAAGATAAATATTGCATACAGTGACCATAAAACATTATCTTTTATTTTACTGTAAAAAACTGATTGATAGTTTTCAAGAGATAACTTTGATAAATTTAATATTTTAACGCCGGTAGATTTCCAAGTTAGAAATTCTAACGGGAATTCCAATAAATACAACTGTCACTTTTTGTACCTTTAACATTTAAGAATTTTTAATACTTTGCGATAATATTTTGCAATTATATTGATACAAAAAATTAAAGGATAACATATTTTCTTAACATAATCATATTTTGAGGTTATTTTAATATTTTAAAGTACCTATCAATAATTGTTAAGTTTAATTTAAATTATAAAGGGCAATGTCAATGGTGAAAATTACGTCAAAAATGTTTATTTTCGTATAGATGTCGCTTTATACAAATATTTAATATATATAATTTTTTAGATAATATTAAAAGTATTTGTAGTAGACAATAGTATATTAAAGAACTAATGTCATAAGACGTCATTTTGTCGCACGAGGACAATTTATAAAACGAGCGACGAAGGAGCGAGTTTTGTAATGGACGAGTGCGACAATAGGTCTTATGACATGAGTTCTTTATGCTATTTTATCTATTTTGCAAAAACTCGATACAAAAATTAATTTTATACCTTAAATTTAATTTGGTCGAATTTTACTTTAGATAGTTGGTATCACAGTCATTGGTTTGACAGTTAAATCGATTCGCCATGCCGTCTTTAATTTACTTATTTACAATAAGCGGCTGTTAATGTTAAAGAAGAAGAATAGTACATTCTGTAACAAGTTTGGAATACAGCATATTCCGCTCGAGGAAAAATTTGACACACGAGCCGAAGGCGAGTGTGACGGTTTTAGGAGAGTGGAATATGCTATTCCAAACGTGTTTCAGACATTATTTTCTCTACGACTACGTAAGAATAGTATCGCTTATATAATTTTAAACAGATAAAAGAAACCAAGCAGTTTTTGACATTTAAGTTTTTTGTATTGTCAAACCATTTTGTGCCGTCACAATTTTATAATGTAAATTATAATAAATTTAAACAAATGGTATGCCTAAATATTTATTATAATTAAAAATAGTTATTTACACTAACTAATAAAAAAATAACATTGTAACAAATACAAAACTAATTTTACAAGTATGTCAACATCTATTCTTTTTCTACATTTTAAAGGTCTTTTTTTAAACTTTTTGAATCTGTCAAAACTTCAAAGCCGGTATAGTAGGTAACTGGTTTATCATTTTAATATCAAATTTATTATAATTTTGATTTGTATATTTGAAAAACAATAAATATAACTAATTTTTTGTGCCTAAACCTTAATTATACAACTGCTATTATTTTTTAATTAATAAATATTACAGTTATATTTAAATATTTTTAAATTTTTTACGTTTAGTAAACAGCCAGGAGATGTCGTTACTTGTGACCATTCTTAAACAAGAGTAGGAATATTCTCGCACAGTATTGCAGAAAAACATCCTTTCTATGATCAAAAATTACACTAGAATGTTACTATTCTTAAGTAGTCGTAGAGAAAAGGTTTTTCTTTGGTGTTAAACAAAATTTATTGCCAGAAAAGTCTCGTAAGTACTAGAAAAATCATAAAAATATTATAACTAATATGTAAAATATTATACTGTTTAAAGTATATTTTGGGTAGGATAAAGTATCTCATTACAGCACTGAATGCGGTGTTATAATGAAGTCATTATGAACGCAAATAGATTAAGTATAGTATGCAACTCGTTTATAAACTTTTCTAGGCACCCATTTAATTAAGCTAATTAAACTTTTATTATTATTTTTTTTTTTTTGTAAATCTTAACAGGTTATTTTTTAATTAATTTTAAATCTTGCTTTGAAAATAAAATGCCCCAACATAATAGTTATTTATGTCATTAGGTTAAGAAGTAAGGCTTTTTGTGCTAAGTTCAAGGTTTGAAGGCCGACGCGTAGCGGAGGCCTACAATTGAGCGAAGCACAAAAAAGCACTTCTTGGCCGAATGGCATACAACATTTTATCTTCAAAGCACTTTATATAGGTCAATTTAATTCAACATCAAAGCGGCCTAACCCCACTTTTTAAAATCTCATTTATTTATAAGCTAAAGATTACATTAAATATACAATAATTATTATTGCTTTTAGAAGCAGTAATAGTTTGACAATACCTAGCAACATGATTTAAGTAGAAATGGATTTTTGCTATTACATTAAATTCAATTAATTGTTTAATAAATAGGTAGGTATCTAATTTCAATTTGTTTGGATTTTTATTTAAAAAATAGGTAGTTTGGAATGTTTAAGCTGTGTTTAACATTTAATTTCACTGAAAACTTAAAGCAAATTAAAACTTAAAGATAATTTAAATCGTAGAAAAAGAATCGTGCGTTTTCTTGGTTGACTAACCTCACTTTTTGTTTTATTATTCATATTTAATTTTACAATAATTTAATGAAAAATGTTAAACATTAACAGTAAAACAAACAAATTAGTGCTTATTATAAATAAATTAAACCAGTTAAGTACGTTAATTTCTTAGAAAAGGACTAATTTGTCAAAACAATACCCCTAGCGAGAAAAAATCGAACTAATTACTTGCCTCATAAAAATTTTTATCGGCCTAGGCCATAACAAGGTATTTCTTTATCGAATTTTGACAACAATAAAGTTTAAATTATAGACCGCGTGAAGATAAAATATATTAAACAGAATGTACAAGTAAAGTTGGATTTATAAAGTCATTGTAAATTTAATTCAGTGTTGCTGTTTTCAAATTTCTATCAAATGTATTTCCAGTCCACTTTGCTCATAAATGTGGGTTGGTAACGAAAAGATTTAAAAATCAGTTTATACAATTTTTTAAATTACTGGTATTTCCAGCCTCTCCAATTTACATAATACACAACAAACCTTTTGCTCGAACATATTGACTTTTATTTCATCCAAAATTAATGAAGTAGCATCATTTTTTGTTTACCAATTTATATGGAAATCAAAGCAGCATTGAAACAATTCTGGTAAATTTTACATAATTTTTATTTAATTAGAATATAAATATACACTATCTTTATTTAAATAAATAAATGGTTCGAGAACCTAACCTAATTGTGCGAATCTGGCGTGTTCAGCCTTGGCGCGCGCAACCTCGGGTGTATCCTGGACGAACCCATTAACCAAGTTTACCATAGCTGGAACAAACTGAGGAGCTTGTGGTTGCGGAACAAAAGCTGGCTGTTGAGGGGCACGTGGGATGAATTGAGGGGCTAGCTGCGGTTGTTGAGTTTGAGCGGTTTGGGATTCCAATGGTGGTAGTATTGAGTTGAAGTGGGCTACGGCTTCCAAATGGGCTTTCCTGGCGGCGGACACTTCAGGTACTTCGCCGAGGGGACTGCGTGGGATATCTTCTGCGAACTTCTCGAAACCTGGTTGAGGTTGTTGGACTGCAAAAGCTTGTTGTTGAGCAAAGTTCTGTTGATGGCCAAAATTTTGGTGTTCATGGACTGAAAAAGCTTGTTGTTGTCCAAAGTTTTGTTGTTGGGCAAAGTTCTGTTGATGGCCCAAGTTTTGCTGTTCAGCGAAGTTCTGTGGTGCTTGGCTAGGTTGGGCTGGTTGGATGGGTTGGACGGTTTGTCCAGCCTGGAAACGGATTTCCGGTGGCAAAATTGGCAAATTGGCAGAAACTTGGGAATATGCGGTTTGATGTTGCGCTTTAGCGGCCGCCACTTCAGGTGTATCTTGCACCAATTGGCCGCTTATCTGGTTAGCTTGCGGGCCGGTCCATCGAGGTCCTGGAACGCCGACTTGTGCTGAGGCTAAAGCGACGCAACCCAAGAAAACCAGCTTAAAATATGTAAAAATTATGTTAATTTATTTTGCAAACAAATTATTGATATACTTACAAAAGCGTTCATGTTGTTTATTGTAGGTGGTGCTTGTTGTGTGAGTAAACAAATTGTGTGAACTTTAACAAAAATGCTTTTGGTTTTTATATTAAAGATATCATTAGTGTTAAGTTTGTTTCAAATTTGCTAATTAATATTAAATTATGATAAGGAATTACAAATAAAATATTTAATTTTATATTTACCTATTTATTTTCACTTTTTAAACTTACTAAATAATATTTTACAAAAACAATTACAAGAAAACCAAATAAAGAGCACAATTCGGATATTTTAGGTGAAACAAAATAATGCACAGGAGAAAATTAAAACATATACTTTATGAAATAAAAATTAAAAAATAAATATTTCAAATTAACAGAATATTGTTTATTATACAAAACAAGAAAGTTATCGAGTTTTATCACTTTTTTAACTTAATCAATAATTAATTGATCTTCAAGCGTTTTATAGGCTTTACAAATAATTAAGAAAAATCGGGTACCTCCTAGTCTATAAAAAATCTATTTGGACAAATTAAAAAATGCAATAACCTCACTTTTAACTTTTAATAACTATTGTTATTATTATAAAATATTAATAATAATAATAATAAAAGTCTATATTTAGTAAATTTTACATAAATTGTTGGGAGAAGTCTAGCCATGGCTACTCTACTTACCCCAACACAAAATCAAATAAGATACAAATAAAAAAGATACTTAAAAAAATAATTAAAAAATACCAAAAATATAAAAAAAGCCAGTTAAAAATAAATCTTTAAATTTTTTTTAAATACAGGCAAAGAATAATTTTAAATTAATTTGGTTATCTATATTATTGAAAACAACAACTGCATTATAGCTGAAATATCGTTTAATTAGGGTGAATATTATGAGATGTCCCCAAGTGAAAATGATTATTTTTTATTTTTGGTTGTTTCACTGTTAGTCTAGAATGGGGTTTTTGGGAAGCCACCAGTAGTAACATAACATAAGTAGTTCTGCACTAATACAAGAATTTTAAGAAATCATACATTTTGGATATTAGAGCTTCACGGAAGATAGCTTCACGGAGGTTAGGATTTCGTATGATTTTTTTAAACACCCCTTTGTATATTTGAAATAAGTTATTGTATCTTTTGACACCTTAATATTTTTTATAAATACAATTGTACATATATAAAATATTTTTTAAAAAATCTACTTCCTGAGATATTCTTCTTCACGGTGGATAGGTTTTTAAATTGCAAATTAATGAACTTAAACTTTTGAATTATAAAACAGCAATACTCTCATCTGCATATAAATTCTAACTGACCTTCAGGAATCACATATGTGATGCATATGCATCTATAATGTCGTAAACAGATGTTTTTGCTTATTTAAAATGATTAAAGCGCCATCCGTTGCATAAAATTTAAAGCAAAAAAGATTCACGGAGGATAGAATCAATTTTTGTAACACATACATAAATGGTTATAAAAATTATTTTATTATACCAACATATTAAAAATGTATGTCACCTTAATTTTTACATTTTGTATACAAGTTTACAAGTTTTTCAAACTCATTTATAATTCATTATGTATATATATATAAATTTATAATTTTTTATAGAAGCACTAAAAATATACTTTGCAATATTCTGAAACTTCCTTTGCTCGGCTGTGGAAATATAATTATTTAAATAAAGTTGCTATATTATTTAAACACTTTTATTAAAAAAATAAAAAATACATATAGTTAATTTGTTTTGCTAACAAGATAAGCATAGGCCATAGCAGCCTCTATTAAAATCTGTCTATAATCTTGACTCGCATTGGCCTCGTCGAAACTAGGTTCAACACTTTGTTGTTGACGTTGGTGATGTTGTTCTGGACCATGTTGGTTTTGGTGATGTTGTCTTTGGTGACGTGGTTTCTCAGTAACCACTGCCAACTCAACTCCTTGATACTTCAACTTGCAAAGTGGTCCATGACAAGGCTCATCGTTACTGCTGGTGCTGAACAGATTAAGTTCTTCAGGAGCTATTACTGTAGGTTTCTGGTTTCTAGATTTGGTTACAGGGGCTGCTATGTGGATTGGTTTTTGAAAACCGAGATCAAGATTTTCAGGAGCTCTCGCGATATTGTTTCTAGATATTGCTACAGAATCTGCTCTTTGGATTGGTGACTGGGTGACTGGACGCTTGGTTGGAAGATGTATATTATCATCATCATATTCTGGAGAGTTCACTTTTCTACTTTTTTGTGGTACATTTGGCCTGCTTAACGCCGCTTCTTTTGCTTTATTGTAAGCTATCAAGTGGGCTTTAGTAGCCGCTGCAACTTCCGGAGTTTGTGTCAACCCTCCTCCAAGTACGCGAAAGCCTGAACCATCAGCGGTATATTCAACATGCCTTTGTTCATTTTGGTCGTCTATGTAGGTGTAGAAACCTCTTGTTACACCGTCGCTACCTCTGACTTCGTCCCTTGCAGATCGAGTGGATTCAAATCCGAATTTGTACTGGCCATTTTCCGCGTTTAGATTGTTTTCCAACCTGTATATAGGGTCTTTGTGGTAGTTGATTTTTCTGGATTGTGAGGCTGATATGCACAGTACTGTGCAGAGTATAACCTATATAAAATATATTTTTCAGCACAATGTATTGTACCTTGCATGTTAGTACTTACGTATTTGTTCATGGTTCAGGATAAAATAAGCTTTTACTTTGAAATTTCGGTTATATATTGAATTATTGGAAATTAAAATGAAATATTAATAGTAATTGACCTTGCATAGTTTAAATTATTTTGAGTGGTACTGGTTGGTACTATTTAATTTAAAACTTTCTATGCCAAGTCGAGCCATAATAATTCTTTCTTTCTTGTAATATTATAATATCAAATTTGTACCCTTAACTATTATTTTAAAAATAAAGAATGGGGTTAATAAAATCATTGGATTGCATAAATACTTTTATTTAAAAAATCTTACAAATATTACAATAAATTATCTAATTTCTTCCATTAATAATATCAGAGTAAGCCTTAGCTGCCTGGATTAAAGTCTGGCTATAATCCCGACCAGGAATTTGCCTTCTGTACTCGGACAAATCATTCACATTAGTCCTATAGAAACCGGAATCAACTTGGTTATGTTGCTGACTTCTGTGGTGTGGACCTTCAGTGACCACGTAAGACCCTATTTCTTGGTACTTCAGGTTGCAAAGTGGGCCATGGCAAGGCTCGTCAAGGCTGCTTGTGCTGTGAAGAAAGTCAGGGTTTTCAGGAACTTTTTTGACAAAGTTGTTCCTGGACTGTACTGGTACCACTGGTGCGTGAGTTTGTGACGGGAAGAAGAACTCTTCACCTTCTTCGTATTGTGGGGCTCTAGGCCTGGTTAAAGCTTCTTGTCTTGCTCTATTGTGGGCTTCTAGGTGGGCTTGGGTGGCAGCTGCCACTTCGGGAGTTTCGCTTAAGCCTCCGAAGTTACTGCCAAGCCTTCTTGACTCTACTGTCAGCGACAAGCACAGCACAGTAAAAAGTAAAATCTAAAAATAAAATTTTAGTATTATTATGTTTTATTTTGGTTGTTTCTTACGTATTTGTTCATGGTTAATTCTGTTGAGTGAATATAATTGTTTAATGTTGAAGTTTTGCTTTATATGCAATATTTATATATTAATTAAAAGGTAATAAAATAAGCTTTAACGTTGCATATTTGAAATTCTTTAGGTTTTGTTAAAAGGGTAATGGAGAAATTAAATGGGTCAAAATTACCAAATAATTTCACTTTATATTTTTGTAATTAACTTTTTCATGAACTGTGAAAGTTGCAACAATTTTAGGTTATGTTAGAAATTAGGTATTTTTTTCTTGTAACTGTCCAACTTTGTTGATTAACAACTGTCAAAAATATTAGACCTTACTGTCAAGGATTATCGTATTACCTTTGATTACTGTCATTAAACTCCAGGATGGGAATCTTATTTTATATAAAAGTTACGGTTCATTTTTTTTATTTGGACTTATGTCAGTTTGATATAGTAACTTGACTCAACTTGACAAGTTGACAAGTTTGTTTTTATCAATGCAACCAATTTTGGTTCCTTATTTACCAAGCAAACTCCTAAATTTGCAACGTTGCCGCAGTCCAGATAAAAAAAATAAACTTTTCTTAAATTATTATTATGTCTATTTCATTTATACCAGAGCTGGGCACAAGTACTAAAAAAAGTATTCGTAAAATTTTAAGTACGAGTACTTAAAATATTTACTCGTAAGTACTTTACTTGTAAGTACATTTGTAAAGAGAGGTTACGGTTACGAGTAGTAATCGTGAAAACACGAGTAAAGAGTACGAGTACTTTTGAAAAAAAAAGTTAATTAATATAATTGATTATTCTTTACTATCTAAAAATGGGTTAGTCAAAAATGACTAATTGTCACAGCGAAAAAGCAGCCACAATTCTCCTCAATAGCAATTTGTATTTTTAACAGTTAGCAGTCAATTTCCATGTAACATTGTTCCCTGAATCCGAAAATGCCGTCAAAAGTTAGAAAACTAGAACAGTTTTTGAGATATTTTCCATAAAATAGGAAATTGACTTTATCTCAAAAAGTGCTCCCCTTTCATAATTTTTGACGGTATTTTCAATAATTTCCACTTATAACTGTGGCAATTAGTCATTTTTGACTAATTCATTTTTAGAGAGTGTACATTATACATACTTTGGTCCTGAGCTATAAAAATACAAATAAAAATTTATAAAATTATTTATTTTAAACATTATGTACATAAAATAATAACAATGCTTAAATAGTTTATAATTTTACCTATTTACTTGTTATAAAACCTACCTATTTACTTGTTATAAAACCTACCTATAGGCTATAGTATATTATATTATACTATATATTATATAATTTAAAACAGACTTCCAAACAAAATGCTTACGATATTTTGGCAAAAAGTCACGAAAATACTCGTATATATTACTCGTGAGTAAAAAAGTACTCGTACTTTTTTACTCGTAATTGAAATACGAGTAAAAGTACTCAGTACTTGGCCAGCTCTGATTTATACACGCTCTTAAAAAAAAGGTTAACTTAAATGAAAAAATAAAGTTTAAGTAAAACATAATAGATAATTTGCAAGACCCTATTTTTATTCTTATAAACTTACTCAAAACGCCAACTAATGATTTTTTATTGTTTTTGTCATTTTAAACCAATTTTTAAATGATTTTTTATCCCAAAGCAAAGGTAATTCTATAACAATAACTTTATTGTGATTAGTATAAACTGTGTTATTTTTATTTATTTTTTGTATAAATTAATAAAGATAATTTTATATTTATGTAACTAGTTAAAAAACAAATTGAATGGCCATTGTGTGATTAAGTATTAAATTTTGCATACAGTAATTTAACACAATTTATATATAAAATAATTTAATCCTTTTTTTTACTTTAAACTTCTACAGTTGCAATTTAAATTTAAAAAAATAATTTGTTTGTTAAATAAATAAACGACAACAAATAAATCGTTATAAAGTTATATATAATTTTATATTATATTTACATTTATTTAGCAATTGTTAAAATTAAATTTATTATTGTATGTAAATAATTTTACTTTTACCTAGAGGGTAGGGGTAGAGGGTATTAGGTCATTAATATAGAATTAAAACTTGCAAGTTGCAAAATACAGCAAATAATTCCTAGAATCTATTAAAATTAAATGCAATTCATTAAATTTAAAGTATATAAACTGTGGTCAGATTTTAAAATCAGTACAGCACACATTGTAGAACAATACCAACCACTACTCTTATAGACAGTCAAAATGAAGATCTTTGTAAGTATACAAATATTTAGAAGAAAAAAATACTAACTCAAGATTTTTCCACAGATTATCTCAGCTCTACTCATCGCTGCAGCGTACGGTAGACCCGGTGCCACAAACATCGATGTAACTCAAGACACTTCAGGAAGTTACAAGTACTTAATCGACTCAGATATCTTCAAAAGAGAGGAAGAACGACTTGCTGATGGTTCAGTCACTGGATTCTACTCTTACGTAGATGCCAACGGTATGCTTATCATGTACAAATATGTATCTGGACCGGAAGGATTCAAAATCATCGACGGACCAGTCCCAGTGGCCCCTGTAGCTGTGGTACCAGCAGAAGAAGCTCCAAGTGTACCGGCTCCAGTTGTACCAGCTCCAGCTGTTTCTCCAGCCGTCCAATACGCTCCCCCACAGATATACAAAGAAGCTGCTCCAGTTCCCCAGTCCAACAGCATCCCATCTACATTGAACACTCCAGTTGTTCCAGCTCCAGCTGTTTCTCAAGCCGTCCAATACGCTCCCCCACAGATATACAAAGTAGCTGCTCCAGTTCCCCAGTCCAACAGCATCCCATCTGCATTATCAGTGGCTTCTAACTCAGCTTCAGTCGATTTCAGAAGCCCGGTTACTGACACCCCAGAGGTTCAAGCCGCCAAAGAGGCTCACTTTGCCGCCCACGCTGCAGCTCAACATTTCTAATGTTATTTATTTAATTTTTTAATTTATTTATTTAATAAAGTTTTGTATATATTATAAACTATTATTTTTAATTAGTATTTAATAACAATATGTGACTCCATTTGTCTTTGAGATAGCCACACATAAATAAATCTGGCGAAGTAAGATCAGGTGATCTAGCAGGCCAACTAACCGGATAGAATTTTTTCCGGAAAACGCTGAGCGTAAATATTAATATCTGTTAACAGCATCATCAATATTCCTGCCTGCTTCTCCATAAATCAAAACTTATTTTTTCTTCCACTGTTAAAAAAATCCATTGCTGTTCAATAGGGTGAGCCAAAAAAACTAACCTATCGTATTTATGGGTTAAAATGAACCTACATACCGAGCAAAAAATTTCCCTGCAAGGCAAAATTTTTTGCTCAATTTTAAAAAAACTGCAGTTTTACTGTTCAACCAAAACAGGTCTTTTTGTTTGCATATTCTCATATTCATAGTCTCAATACGAGATTAACATAAATAACAAACAAAAACTGAACTTTAATGTAAAACTGATTAATCTTGATAAAATGAAATATTGTATAAAACTTTAACTAGATATTAATAAAAAAAAACGTAAAAAGTTATCACTTTTATATTTTTATTGAAAAATTATTGCAGAATGGTATACAGAGAAGAAATCGAAAAAAATTGTTTTTTTTATTTACTAATAAGAAAAAATAGTATAGACAAAATCTACCTATTTTTAGTTAAATAATCCGAATCTGCAATAAAAAATAGGGTGTTTCATTTTTTTAAATTTTAAAGTTACCCCATGCCTTCCCTATAGGGATGAGAGTATGGGAAATAGTTTTGGTATTAATTTATTTTCCTCCTCAAATCATTTAATTTTTATTTCTATTCTATAAATATGTTTATGATGAGTTTTATCAACATTTTATTTAATCCTTTGGCCTTGGCCTTGGCTTTTTGACTTATGTGTCACATTACCCCACTTCCCATTAAAAAATGTGACCGTTTGAAAAATATTTGATAAATATAAAAACTTTGAACAACTTATAACTTGGAAACAAAAAAAAGTAGAGCAAAATTTTATATCACAAAATACTTTTTTCAAGGCTTTTAGCTGCAAAAAAAATAGAAAGCAGTATTTCATGTGAAAAATATTTAAATATCACGTAAAATTTTAACTCTTTATTAATGATGCTTTCTGATATCAAAAATGTAAATCAAGAAAGAGATAATAATCAGTTAAATAAAATATGTGTTATTAATGTCCCTTCTTTATTTTCCTGTAATATATAAAAGTATTTTAATTACATGTTAAACAATGCCATTAAAAAATAAATATAAAAAGGTGCGAAGTACTTGGTAACATCAGTAAATAAACAATAACCAAACAACAAACATGAAGTTTCTTGTAGGTATTACATAGTTTATAACAACATAATAATAATATATTTTTTCAGATTGTTTCAGCCCTATTGATAGCTTCAGCTTGTGCCAGGCCAGGAGCTACAGATATCGAAGTGAGCCAAGACACCGCTGGTAACTACAAATACACAGTCAAGGGCGATAACCAGCATAGAGCGGAAGAAAGGCTTGCCGATGGTACAGTATTAGGATCATACTCCTACGTGGACTCAAACGGAGAACTCCAATCATACAAATACGAAGCTGGACCACAAGGTTTCAAAATCCTCGAAGGAGCCCTCCCAGTTGCTCCCCTACCAGTTGAAGCTGAACCCATCGCTCCAGAAGTACCAGTAGCTGAAACTGTTCCAGTAGTTGCACCTGTTGCTCATGGAGCTGATGTACCACAATTCAACTCAATATTTCCACCACATGAACACAACACCTTACCGTTGAGTGTTATCCCAATCGATTTCGCTAAATTAGCTTCATTAGTCGCTCCCTTCGAGCAGCTGGTCGTGCCAGCTTCAGCCCCGGTAGCTGCAGTTCCGCAATTCAACCCAAGTGTTGAATATTTTAAGGGTGTTCCAGTTGCTGCTCCACAATTTGCTACACTTTAAGTTGAAGCTGCTAAACAAGCGCATTTTGCTGCTTAGACGCCATGTTGTCCAATTTAAGTTTTTGTGATTAACTTGTATATTTATTACGAATAAACTTTTATAAAGAAACTAAAATTGTTGTTATTAATTAATGAATCTGATTTCTATTACAGTTAAAAAAATGTTTCATATTTTACACTTTATGCTAAAAGTTTAGTAACTTCAAAAGTTTAAGTTAATTGGTACTATTTATTTTAAGTTATTTGCTAAAAGCTTTCAAGAATTTTTCTTTTAAATTTCATAAATGTTGATAGATGAGCCTACTTCTAATTAATAAATAGAGACCAAAATGTCCATCATAAATTTTGATGGGCAGTTAAAAATTCTTAGTAAAAAATGTGTTACGGTCATTTTAGTGCATTTTTAGCTTTTTTGCTCTTATACGACTTTTTTATAGTGACCAAAATGCCTAAATGCTTGCCTACTAGGGTAAACCACATAGTTATTGCACACTTAAGGAATATAATTTATTTAAAACTTATATATGCCGTTGTTTTAAAGATTTTAGTTTTTTTTTTCTTATAAATATATAAAATGGATAGTTTGTTTGTTTAAACTCTATTTACGTTTACTTAAAAATAAGAATATTTGAATTTTTAATATTAGTTTTATAAAAAAAAATGCAAAAAAGTATAGTAATTGGACATTTTATATAGTAATTGGGCACATGGACCATAGTTATTGGACATACAATTTTAATATAAACATAACAACTTTACATCAACATAAATTGTTAAATATTTTTTAGAGATAAATTGCTGTTTTAGGTAATTTTTTTTATTTCGTTTTTGTAAATGGGTAGCATACAATTTATATATTTCTTTCTCGGATTCCTCATCCCTTTTCTGGATTCTGAAGGTAACGACTAATTCCTTGGTCTGACTTCTGAAATAGTTTGTTGCAAATATCATTTAGTGTGGTATCTCTATAGTTTGTGAAGCATTTATATATAATGTTTAGGCCGGAACAGGATGATTTATATATATCTAATATTTTTTGGTGGTATTTTAAAAGTATTTTCCGAATTTATTAATTTTATTGTCATTAGTTTTTTATGTTCTCTATCATGCGTGTGACGAAGAAATCACTATAGTACTTACTCTCTAAAAATGAATTAGTCAAAAATGTCATAGCGAAAAATCAGCCACTAATATTTCTCGTCAATAGCAATTTGTATCCAGTACATTTAGCAGTCAATTCCTATGAAATACACTCACGTGCAAAATATTCGATCCACACAAATTTTCGATGAATTTCAATCGCAAATAACTTTTTTATTTGATGTCGGATTTAAACGAATATTAAAGAATATTGTAGATAAATTAATGGACAATCGCTCACATTTAAAAAAAAATACTAAAAAATAGACGTACGTTTATAATATACAGGTTTAAACAAAAATATGTTTTTTACTATAAGTTTAAGACACTCTGCAGAGTGGCAAAAACGTATATTGTTCTAAATTAAGTTTTATTTATCAAGTCACATTTATTTTTAACAGTTTTGTTTTTGGTTCACCTCGATATATTTATTTTTGTGGAAAATATGGATTTTTTTTAAAAAACATTGCAATTTCCAATATTTTTCCTGTATGAAGAACTAAGGTTGCTATCCATAGCCTATGGAGAATGACAGTGACAGTTTTGTTGAATCATCCCATACTTGTACATGTCATATACAGCTTTCCAAAGCTATCAAATTGTTTTTTGTAAATTAATGTGTTAATTTTGAGGTGCCTTCTTACTTTTAAAAATGTCTCCGACTGATGTTGCCCTTTGTACTTTACTTCTTATGACGTTTAAAACACTTGCCACGTAATACTGTGACCGTCCATCCTGGATTAAATTAATGGCTCTGGCAACATCAGTCGGAGACATATCCATTTTTTTAAGTAAGAAGACACCTCAAAATTTAAACATTAATTTGCAAAAAACAATTTGATAGCTTTTGAAAGCCGTGTATGACATGTCCAAGTATGGGATGATTCAACAAAACTGTCACTGTCATTCTCCATAGTCTATGGATGGACCATAGCAACCTTAGTTCTTCATACAGAAAAATATTGGAAATTGCAATGTTTTTAAAATAAAATTATATTTTCCACAAAAATAAATATATCGAGGTGAACCAAAAACAAAACTGTTGAGAATAGATGTGACTTGATAAATAAAACTTAATTTAGAACAATATACGGTTTTGCCACTCTATAGAGTGTCTTAAACTTATGGTAAAAAACATATTTTTGTTTAAACCTGTATATTATAGACGTACGTCTATTTTTTAGTATTTTTTTAAAATGTGAGCGATTGTCCATTAATTTATCTACAATATTCTTTATTATTCGTTTAAATCCGACATCAAATAAAAAAGTTATTCATCGGAAATTTATGTGGATCGATTATTTTGCACGTGAGTGTATTATTCGCTGAATCCGAAAATGTGGTCAAAAGTTTTAAAAGTAGAACAGTTTTTGAAATATAATCAATTTTACACATAATATGGAATTGACTATATCTCAAAAACTTCTTAACTTTTATAGTTTTTGACGGTGTTTTCGGATTCATAATTTTACTTATTTTTTAATGAAAAAATCGAATCGAATTTTTCGACATTTCGTTTACACTTTTCTTTTTATTTTTAAAGATTCTAAGATACTTGAAACTTAAAATCGGTTTTGCAACCTAGCAAAAACTTTATAATTTCTCCAAAGTAAGACAAAAAATTGGCCACTTGATTCTCCCAACTTTAATATTCGTCCGCGGCTCAGTAGAGCTCCGTATTTTCGTATATATACAACAATGTGCTTCGACTGAGCTTTTTATGCACAACAAACTTTTTGCCGTCACATCTCGAGTGCATAACGGAAGAAAGACATTAACAATTTAAATCGGAATTTGTTAAGCGCTCCTGAATTTTCATTGCACAAGACTGTTGTTTGCATTACTTTTAGGAGTGGAGCGAACGTATTTGCTCAGCAATTAATTCATTTTAACTTGTTTGTGTTTCAGGAAAGAATTGCCTTGAAAGGCGGCAATTTCGAGACAAATACCGCGAAATCGAAAACCGAGAAAATATGCAACTTTATTATTGGGAATTTTCTTTTTATGTTGCTTTAAGGTAATTAAAAACTCTTTACAAATATTCAGAAGGTAAAATTTATCAAAAGAAAAAGGTTAATAACAGTCTATATGGGTCATTTTTTTGCTTAAATTGACTTTTGGTTGGATTTTTATAAATGTTTAGAGTTTGTTTACTTACATTTAAGACAGGCAGTGCACTTTTCTATTTTTTTTACGTTTTTTTCAGAAAAATGTGTTTAGCTAGCTTTATATGTCTCCACTGTGTTACCAATTTGAAATCCAAAATTTAATTCAATATAAAAAGTTGTTATAAAAATAATTTGAAATAAAATGTACTTAGTTCACAAACTTTTGACTCCAATTTTATTTTTTATTAAAAATTGTATGCCTTTTTTAAATATTTATATTAGTTAAGTTACTTTTTAAAAGACACCATTCCGATTCTTTGTTAAAAAAACAATACCATTAATATTTTCTTTTAGTCACTGTATTAGTGAGTTAAACTCTAATTTATAAACAGGTATTACCAAGTGATAGTAAAATCATTTTAAGAATTTTTTTAACAAAAACTAAAAAAATTAACGAAATGGACATTTGTATCACAACGGACTGGGGTACACAAAGGACTTAATCAGATAACGTAAAAAAGAAACTATACAGGGTGGTATGATTTGACTAATAAGCTTGTCTTTTAGTACTTGTATATTGCGTGGAATTTTCCCTTGGATGTAATCTAAATCATGAGTTGTAATCACAAATAATTTTAAATTGGTTTATCATAAACCACTTTTAATAAAAGCGACGGTAAATATCCACTTTGTTGTCGAAAAATTCTATTGCGTTACCCTAAATTCCATTATACCTTATTTTTATTATTTTTTTGAGTAACTTAGCGGACAAACAATTATTACATTCGCGTTACCCGCACCTGTTTCAACCGATATCTTCTTCCTGATTGAATAAATAAATTCAGCTGGGTAATGTGTACGTCCGAACATCATTTGTTAATCACGTGAGGTCCAAAAAAGTTGCCATATATATGTTTTTTTAAATATTCTATCGGTAACGCGTCGGACGTAACGCAACGGAAAAAATGTCTGGGACATGAGTCAAATTCAAAAAAAGTAGATTAAAATTAATTATTTTATATATAAATTGTTTACTGTATTAACTAAGGATGTTATGGATTGCTATAAAGCAACACAAAGTTCTGTTTATTCAATATTAAAAAAAAACATGTATGTAAGTTTTATAAAACGCTAATGGGACATGCGAAAATGTGTGTTTCACAAGTTTCAAAATTAAACAAAAATTATTCTGAAATAACTAAACAAACATTTTCTGAAAGAGTTTACTATAAGGGCTTGTTAGGCTTTCACTTGGTTTTTAAATCAATAAAATCCGATAATTTTTAACAAAGTTATTGGAATTCAAACTTACGGACAGCGGAAAGCAGGTGTTTTTTAAAAACGACCCATATATTTGTTTATTTATTATCAGCAACACAGTTAATGATGCCCATTAACTACCTAATGATGTAGGAATACCATAAAAAATAGTAGTATAGCATTTCACCTACAGTATCCAAGCTCAGTTTGTTACAATAAATGAAGATGAACATACACCTAGGAATTTGTATCTGTCTTGTTGGCAGCCTTGCCGCCCAAGAATCCAATGTTGACTTCAAGCAAGATGTCAGTGGTGTTTACAAGTTTACATTTGAAACGCCGAAACATTCCCGTAAAGAAGAAAGAGACATCCATGGGACTATAACCGGGGAATATACGATTACAAATGATGATGGTGTCAAGGAGACGTTTACCTATGAATCTGGAGTTAATGGTTTCAAAATTTTGTCTGGTAATCTCCCCATCGCGCCTG